GATCCCGCGGCCTGGGTCGTCTCACTCACTCCCCAGGCCTGCGCTCTGGGTCATCTGTTCAGGATCCAGAGGGCCCGGGTAGTCTCACTCACTCGCTAGGCCTGCGCTCTGGGTCTGTTCAGGATCCCACGGCCTGGGTCGTCTCACTCACTTGCAAGGCCTGCGCTCTGGGTCTGTTCAGGATCCCGCAGGCCCCCGGGTCGTCTCACTCACCGCCGAGCCTGCGCTCTGGGTTTGTTCAGGATCCCGCAGACCCCCGGGTCATCTCACTCTGCCCTGTTGTTTCTAAACCACCAACACAACTATTACACAAATCTAAATTAGTCTTTGAAGCAACATACCCTGATGATCATTTTGGAGTTCTGCCCATCTGTGCTTTCTGGCCAGTCTGAAAGGCCTAGGGGCCTTCAGGTCCTGGCTTCACCCATGCTCTGGCTTTGTTGTCTTCCTCTGAACCCTGCATGCATGGATGAGAGCTGTCTGTGGTCAGCCCACATCCCACATCCTTGCTGCCGCACACTCACAGCAGCAGCTCTACTTTGGGTGGAATGGGATGGGCATAGCCACAGAAGGTCAGGCACTTCTGCCAGGCAGATGGTGCCTGTGGCTCTCAGTGTCTACATTGTGAGGTGTGGGCTTGGGGAGATGGTGAACTACCCAGCTGTGGCAAAAGCTAAGAGGTGGGGCAGCATGTGTGTATAGGGTGTGTGCAATAGCATCACTTACACAGGTACACTCTGTGATGCGCTCCTCAGTCCTGTTGACCAGGAGACTCCACCACGTGCCACTTTAAGATGTTCCCACAATGCTTCCTGCTTCTGTGTTCAATGTCCAGCGAAGGTACCACAGCCACTTAGGGGCCAAAGGACAGGGCTGTCCAGGTGCTAAGCTCACTGGCTCCCCTCTCAGGCCTCTGCATGTCCCTCTCCACCTGCTGGGTCCTCAACTGTTCGTCATCCTGGCGTGTCTATGCTTTTGCTGTGGCAGTACTAGCCCCCTTCTTCTGTCTTGTTTCTACCTGCAGCCAAACTTGAGTGACCCCCACAGTAGTTACCTTGTTGTATGCCCTGAATGCCAGCATCTGCCTGGAACATTGTACCAACACCAGGTAAAGATTAGCATACAGGGTGAGCTCTGTGGACAGGAGAGGTTACTGCATCACCTTCTTCTCAGCCAGCACATGGTCCAGCTTCCACTGCCCAGGCTGTATTCAATGTCAGTGCACAATGGCTAATATCATCTGTCTAGAAGAATGTAACTCATTCCCTCACAGTGGCCAATGGGCTCTTGGTTTTACCAGTGGACACTGGCACAGAGCCATATTTGCTTCCACCTGCACTGCCTGGCTCAGCCTAGCAGCCCTGCAGCTGGGGTCTTGACCACTCAAGACAAACTCTGACCTGTTGGAAACATCTCTAGGCACCATTTAGATCTCATTATTATTTTCTTACATTACTGAAACAAAATGGAAATGACTAATACTTGATGTTTAAAGCTTTTAAAAATGAAAGTGAAAAATCATTTCTAAAATGAAGGACTACTTAACTAGGGAAAACAGCAATTAATACTGCCCATTGATTAAAATGCTTGTAACTAACTCCCTTAACAAGTACCACTCTGAATGTGCCCACACATCTCACATCTGACAGTGCTAGGCCAGCAGGCACTAGAGTTGCCTGGTCAGTGGACAGAGTGCCTGCTCACAAAGCTGTCTCTTAGAGAAACTAGACAAAAATTAAAGATGAAGAAAGCAGAGAATAAGAACGTAGGAATACTGCTGAGAACACAGGTGAGGCTGTGCAATGCCCAGAGGTGGTGAGGCAAGGAGCTATAAGCATAGGAGGTGCAGGGAAGAGCTTCCAGGCTGCCCTCTTCACCTTTCCACTCATTGCCATCTTCCTGTGGCTGGGTGACAGCTCCAGAAGTCTCAGAACCTGCCTGACCTGGCCAGCAGCACCCCAGGGCCACTGCACTGCAGGACTTCTGAGGCCAAGGGCCAGTGTCTTTGTTTCCTTGCTCCTAAACCCCCACCACCAGCAAACAGAAAAGCTCAGGGAGCAGAAGACAGAACCTGCCCAAACAGTTGAACTAGGGGAAGGAACCCAGCCTACAGTGCCCTTAGATATGCTGTAGGCCTCAGAGCTGCACACTAGGCTTATTTAAGGAAGACCACTGGTGAACAGGCTATCAACCCATGGAATTCAGATGCCCAAATCTAGAAGGTATAACTCTTAGAAACAGGAAACCCTGTCAAATTTGTGCTAAATATAGAGGTGCCTCACCTGTTTGCTTCTGCGCTCAGGAAATGTGCCAGGTGGCCAGCCCACAGCACGGGTCCCACATATGTCCCAAATACTGTCAGGAATGTGGCTGGAATCTCCATGTAAGTATCTAAGCCCACAAAGCCTGCTGAGACATCAATGGTGGCGATGTTGTTGGAGTTGCCCTGGAACAGAGGAGACCCGGGATAATGATGGCCTTGCGACACAGTACCAATCACTGTTCCTGAGTGTGGGCACATGGGCCAGATGACCACATCAGCATGGCCACAGGTGAGAGTGGAACACATGGGCCCAGGTGATCATGCTGGTGTGAACGTACTGTCAGAGGAGCCAGACAGCCTGATTACATCCAGGGCTAGCTGCTTCTCTGGTCACTAGGCTGCTCCAGGATGAGTCATCTATCTGCCTGCTGTGACATCCCAGGCCCAAAGAAGCCACATGGCTGATGTAGAGACATCCCTCCTGAAGAGTCAGCCTGCTGGGAGGAAACAGCAATCTCATTCCTTTGTACATATCCACCACTGTTCTTCGGGTGAGCAGGGACCTGCCCTTAAAGGCCTTGTGGGTGTACACCAGGTTGGAGATTGCTGGCTGTGGCTGAGTTACAGTGGAAGGTAAGCTGGCACTGCAGGAGACACTGGCCTGCTTACTGAGGACTGACTTCTGACTGTGTAGAGTTTGGATGATTCTGGACAGCCCCTACGCTATGAGACAGCAGATCCCCCTGCCTCCTGAGGGATCTCTTGAGGGTTCACCTCTCTCCACTTGCAGTCTCTTGAACCTGGTGATTTGTGTACCACGTGGACTCCTCAATCTGACTCACACTCTCCTCAGTGGGGCCATCAGGCATGGTGTGGTGCTGCTGACACCTACATAGGTCCAGAGACGCACACATCCTTCTGTTCTACCAGGCACTAATCTTCCTTGAGGACTCTGGGTTCCTATCTCCCTTGCGCACTTTTGTCTAAGGACAGCAGCAAGTTGGCATCAGGAAGAGAAGGGTGAGGGGAGAGGTCAGGGCCTGGTGGGAACAGAGGTGGGTCTGCTCCTGGAACAGATACTAATTCTGGAGCAGGGGCAGCAGAACAGAAGGTCAACCAGACAGACAGCAGTGGGTCAGCATGTGCTCCCGTGATGATACCCAACCTGCATTAACTCACTGTTATCAGCCATGTGACATGGCATATCACTGTCCCTGGTATAGAGGCAAGAGACTGAGGCACAAAGACATGGAATTAAGTGCAAATGGAGGACTAGTAAAACAGAGCACCCACATTCCTGATCCCCACATTGCCAAGGAAACATAGAGCTGAGGCAGAAAGGCTAACACTCATTTCCCTGATCCAAGGAAGAAAGGAAAAAACTCAACCAGAGACAGGGAGAGCTAGGGCAGGGACAAGGGGCATGGTGAGGGGGAGGACTGGGAGAGGACAGAGACACACAAATGACAGATCTAGAGAGCTAGGACAGGGGACCTAGGATGGGATGGGGGGGCAGCAGGAGGAAAACAAGAAGAGGGGAGGCGAGAAGAGTAGAGCAGATTCCATCAGGCTCCTGACCCATCTAAGAGAACAGCACTGTCCACTGTCCCCAATTTATAGATAAGAAACTGAGGCACAACACTCATTTTCCAGAGGCCCCTGTGGGAAGATTTTCTGTATTCTGTGGAGCACCTTATGCTGATGCCACCCTAGGTCAGAGTTCCTTCCTTAAGGAGACTGAGGTCGAGAGGGTTGGAAGGTGAAGCCTTGGGCTGGTCTCAATCTGAACATGCTATGGAGGACTGGTGGGTTTCTCTAACTTACTCACTACCCTTGGGCTCCATGCCAGAGTGCAGAGACAAGTCACATAATTAGAGGCACAGGACACCAGGAATACAGGAGGAGCACAAGGACGAAGCCCTACTGGGGCATGATTGGATGAGACCTTGGGATTGGCCAAAGCATTGGAAGCCAGTGTATAAGGAAACAGAGGAGCAGGTGCTCTGTGAAGGTGTACTCTCTCACCTAGGAAGCTGGTGGAGAGGTCTGCAGTGACCTACATTCCCCTGGGGACACCAGTAGGCTGTGGGACAACTATCCAAGTATGTCTATACACATCTGAGCAGGCTCAGGCTTGCCTGTGATGGGTCTTTATAAACACTGGAGCAAAACCCTGCCATTCTTCCAGGTCCCAGTGGACAAACAGCCACATGGAGACACTGAATGGTTCCCAGTGTGGACAGCCCTGACACCAGGAATGTAAACACGATTACTACACTCATAAAATAAGCAAGCAAAAGATTTGATGTGTGTTCTTAACTGCTCCTCATAACTAAATCCTCACCTGATCCCGCAGAGCAACAATTGGCTATTGTGCACATCCACAAGTCCACAATAAGAATCTCTTCCTTAAATAACAGTGCTTTATTTTATAAAAGACATAGGCTTAAACACAGTTCACTGTGTATACTGACAGTTCTCACTAAACAAGTGCTACTTTTCCAACTTCTAAAATGTTCTCAAATAAAAAATAAGACACTGAAATGAATAGTCTTCTACTCATGATAATAATGAAACCTACCTGAAAATAGAAGAATGCTTGACCGAACCAATAATGCATTACAGTGATCTCAGCTACATCGTGTCTCAGGGGCTTCCAGATGAATTTAGTCATGATGGTCTGGATCAAGAGGCTAAATGCTAACACCGGAAGATTATGTGGTCTTAAGAGCAATGCTGCCAGAAGAACTAATCCACTATATAGTTCCCACAAACCTACAGTCTTGACTTTGAAGTCTGTAGCAATGACTTGAGATTTAAGCAAGTCTTTGGTGCCCGTGAACAGAATGCCAAGGACAAAGACATAAACAAAACGAGCTTCAAGAATACCCCTAAAAAGAAAGCAAAATAAGTTAGATTCATTTGCACCAACTACAGATTTTCCCATGAAAACACATGTCTACTTAGTGAATGCCTACATGTGCCAGCACAGCTAGCCACACAGTGGCACCCTCTGCACCGCAGTTATCCCTCTTACTCCCCTTAGCTGCAGGACCTGCAGGCTGGTTCTGTGTATATCTTTGTAACAGAGCTGGCTTCAGGGGCATCTCGCTCTTCAGCTAGAGCTGTGCCTTGCAGTACACCAAGAAAACCACCCATCTACCTGGTACAGTGAAAACCACTGCCCTGGTATAAGACCCCACTCTCAGAAACTCCCATCTGTTCACAAATGCTGACCATGTGAGCAAGCAGGTTCACAGTCAAGCAGATTCAGAAAGGACACACCCATAAGCATGCAGTCTGGGCCCTATGTCCAGCTTTGCTGTTGAGAAGTTAATACTTCTGCCACTCACCTTTGTTACTTGTGAAAAGAATGAAAAATGGTATCTATACCTCACATGGCTGTCACAGGGATTGAACAGGGGATGTGCATTGTTTGGCATAGTAAGTGTTCAGCCTTACTTTTATGAATTAACTATTTCAATACTTCATTTAGGTAAAAGATACAATTTAGGATACTAGGCCTAAGAATTTCATTTTACAAAGCACATGTATTCCTAAAACATAGTATTTTAAGTAGATTTTGTAACTTGTTTCATATATACTGCATTTAAGACATTAAGTAAATTTGAAAGTATCAATATATATAAATGAGTTTTCTTATATCAAATTTTCTTAGAAAGGCTCATGTATTTAAAAATCCCTTCTTTAATACAATCAGTTTGGTTTCAATTTTAGTATATGTGATGCTGAAGCAAGCACATAAGTTTGATGCCAGTACAGTGGGCTGTGCGTGCCTGTGCCTGGCAGGTGGCACTTGCTGAGGAGGTGACGTCTGGGAGCTGGCGTCTGGGAGGTCAGGAGTGTGCTGAGATGATGCTGAGAGCAGGTCTCACATGCTCGGAGGAGGGACCCACATAGGTTAGAACCCTTGAGAAAGTTTCAAAGAAGAAACTGAGATGGCTCTGTAACTGAAGGAGGTTGAGTGGCGAAGATGAGGAGAGCATCCAGAGAAACATCTGAAACCATTCTTGCCCTAACCAGTAAGCTCCAGGGCCACTGCCTTGAGCATCTCCTCCAGCCAAGCCTCGGCTTCTAGTGAGAAGATTGTAAGCCACAGACAATAAAAGACTGCAGAACACTGTATGAGCCCAGAACCACAGCAGATCCAGAACCAGGCAGATGAGGAACCAGGAATATTCAGTGAAGATAGGAGGGGATATGGGATGGAAGCATTTTCTAGGGGAAAGATGAACAAGCCAATGCACTGAAAGAAAAAGCATCATAGCTGGTTTTGGACACCACAGACAACATGCTGTAGTAGGCAACCAGGCAAGTGAGAAGACCAAAGCCAGGAAACAGTGTACAGGTCTGGGAGGAAATAAAAAGATTTGTTCATACACTGCAGTTTGTGATGACACAAATACTCCCTGATGTAGTGTCCAGCCTGAGGTTTTCTCAGTCTTCTACTCTGAAGGAGAGCATGCCTCTGTACCTGACCCCAGCCTCTCCACCCACTCTGGCCTCCAGCTTCAGCAGGTGCTTCCTGGTGTTCCTGAGCTCTGCAGCCACCCACACGGTATAGCTGTATCCCTCGGCTCCCACCTGTACCTTTTGTTTCATAAAAAAGTAGTATTAATTTTGAATATATGTAATGTTCAAAAATGAATATTTTCCTTTTTTAAAAAGATCACACTCTACCTATAATCTTGAGTCCTAAATACTAAACACCAATATTTTATCTAGTCTTTCACACAAATATGAAAAATTAAATTCACCTGGTAAACTGGGATCATATGACAATTGTACAGCCTAGTGCTCCACAATGTTGTTCTAATTCTTGAGAGCTGTCAGGAAAATCAGCTCTCTTTAGTTCAATTCTACAGAACTTCAACATGACCACACAGTTGGTCACCCCATGGTTGATGGACAACTATTTTATTCTTTATCTTTTTCAATTATAAATGATGCTTAATGAACATGCTGCATATACACTGAGAATAATATGAGAATTACATCAGAGATACTTAAAATTAGGCATAGTTAATAGATTTAATAGAGGATGAACAGGCATGTACAAACAGGCATCTGAGTTTTACAAATGTACCATTACCCATTTAAAATCAACCGATAGGTTAATCCCAACATCCCCCTGCTATGTTCTCAGGACACATTTGAGAAGCTTAAAGCGTTCCTACACTGCAGCATCTGTCTTAGGACAGGTTCTATCCAGCCACCTCCCAGGAGTGGGAGACAGACTGTTCTACCATAATGCCCTCAAACAGAAGAGTGGGCACTTGACACATAAGGATAAATTTGTGACTGAACTCTCCTGGCATGTACAGCATAGAGCTCCTGACCATACTGGAGCACAATGAACATTATAGGACATCCTGCCTTAATTTAAGCGGATGCTTCCTAGTAGTTGGAAAAAAAAGCATAGACCATTCACATTCTGTTAAATCTATTAACTCTGTCTGATTTGAAGTATTTCTTTGGTATAACCACATTCTCCTCAGTGTATATGCAGCATGTTCATAAAGCATCATTTATAATGGCAAAAAAATAAAGAGCAAAACAGTTGTCCACCAGATGTGGGGTAATCAACCTTGTGGTCATGTTGAAGCGCCACAGAATTGAATTAAAGATAGCTCAGTTTCCTGATAGCGGTCTGACCAAGCGCTTTTGTAGAAACGGACAGTTTCTACAGAGTCACAGCACAATTGAGCACTGTTGCCTTTAAGTTAGACACCAGTCCATTACCTGTTAGTCTTATGATATCCCAAGTTTAGTTAATTAAAACCAAAAAACAATTGCCAAAAACAAACAGTAACTCAATGACCTTCCAAGCTACTTGTCTTTCTCCTAAAACAGTGCTAAGAAAGTGAAGGTTTTGTTAGTTAGGTTCATGATGGCTTTGTTAGCTATGCTGTAACAGCTGCTGCTGAAATCATAAAAACCAAACTCCAGTGTTCTAAAGATTGGTATGACATTTTTCAGTATATAAAATACAATGACAGCTCTAAAAGCAAGTCCACATATCTGCAATGTACTTACTTTGAAATGCCTCTGTTGGCCGGTTGCCATGGGAACAGCAAATTCCCAATAGATGCCCGATAGCAGAAGACACCCACCAGTCCTAGTGCCAGGGCAACCTTGGACACAGGGGAGCATCCTCTCTGAGCCAGCATGAAGATCACAAGCAGGGAGAGGGCAGCTAGGCAGGAGAGTTCCATTTTGTGACTAGTGCTGCAGTGAGACAGAAAATGCCAAGGTTATCACCAAATGGGAATAGTGATATATGCAATCCATAGCCAGGGGTTCTAAAGAACTGTGTTCAAAATAGCTAATTTTCCTGGACAGAAAAAGAAGCTGGTTAATTAAGCTCAAACAAAAGTTCTTAAAATGTGACAAATAAATATGTTCAGCTGAAGTTCAACTTCGACAAGCTTGGAAGTTGGGCAGGAGGCATGAAAGTCTTGTCTCTACCACTCTAGTCTGGCTGCATCCTCATATGCTTCCGGCAGGCTGTAACCACCCCGTGGGGTGAGGGGAGGTGTAGGGGTGGAGCCCAGCTGTGCCTAGAGTATACCACGTCAGGCTCTCTGTTCTCCACCACAGCTCACACAAGTTTAGACATCACTATTAAAAAGATAAGTATTCTGTACAGTATACACAGACCTGGAAAAACAACCTGGGTATTCACCTGCTACTGAGCTTTAAGCTACATGTATATTTTAGGCACTCTGGAGGGCCATGTGCCATGGCAGAGGACAGGGGTATCCTGTGGCAAGAGTGAAGGGTGCAGGCAGTCCACAGTCACACCCTTAGGGGCATGCAGCAGGTATGCCAGCAATATCTTTCCTCAATTTTCAGATCTTCAACAGTATATTTTTTTTTAATTTTTAAAAAACTTCTTTTATGTATAGGGTCTCACTATGCAGTTCAGACTTGTAGTGAGCCTCCTGTTTCAGGATTACAGGTATGTGCCACCACACCATTTCAGTGGCCTGCATGGTGGCACTGGGGACTAAACCTGGATCCTTGTGCTTGCCAGGCAGGTGCTTAGACCACTGAGCTATCTCCCCAGCCCCAGTATCCTATTCTTTTTTTTTTCATTTATGTATTTGATATAAGGTCTCACTATGCAGCTCAGACTTATAGTGAGCCTCCTGTTTTTAGCCTCCCCAGTGCTGGGATAACAGGCATGCACCACCATACCTGGACTCAGGGGCAGGGCTGGCATGGTATGCAGGACCTGGGATCAAACCCTGGTCCCTGTGCTTGCCAAAGCAGGCACTTAGTCTGCTGAGCTATCTTGCAGGCCCTTAGTATCCTATTCTTAACACACAAAAAAAAGGCTTAAGTGTATTCAAAGAAGACTGGTGTGCAAATTCAGTAGTAAGGTCAGTTTGCTGTGATCACCCTCACCTGGTGAGCCAGTGGCCAAGGTCTGGCCGGTGAGCTCCCTGAACCCCCGTGTGGTTCAAGAACCTCAGCAGTCGGCAGCAGGCCAGCACCAGCCATGGGCCAGCCAGCACTGCCCAGCGTGCATGACCTCTGTGTGTTCCAGAAGGGCAAGGAGCTTTATCCATCTGGCCAGCCTTGGGGGCCTCACAGGCAAAGCAGTCCTGATGCACAGAGGTAGCCCCCACAGTCCCTGGCTCTGTGTGGAAACAGTGTGGCAGCTCGTTGTTGTGTCCCAGAAAGTAGCTCCTGCAGGTTTCCTGGCTCAGAGCCAGACAGAGTGTACTGACCAGGAAGTACCAGGTCTGATGCTCTTCTTCCACAAAGCTGCTGGCTCCCAGGCTCAGGACATGGCCCACGGTGCCCAGCAGGAGGAGGAGGCCCACCTCCGACCATCCCGAGCAGGGGTGGGCTGCACTCTGTGAGGAAGAAATGCATCTGATAAAAGGTGATCTGAAAGTGGCACACACTCACTGCATGTGCTGATGACCTTGCTCAGAGCAACGACCCCTGTGACTGGTCCTAAGTTCTCTTTATGGCCAGTGCCCAAAGCCTTACCCAAAAGAGCCCTTTCTCCTGTGGCATCCTCACCCCAGCCACAGGGGCAAAGACCAAGATGGTTGGGCCCTCTGGGCAACAATGAACCCAAGTGCTTGTCAGGGCCCCTACAAGTCCCTGCTGGCCTCCTTCCATGCCAGCTTCTGCTGCCTGGAAACTGAAGAGCCCAACACATGCCCCACACCAGACAGTATACTTCCCCATGAGTTTTTAGAAGTCTAGTTTCCACTACAACAGTTACATCTGAATGGCAAAGGCAGCATCACAGTCCTGTCTTTTTAATGTTCTAATTTTAAATGGCTAAAGATTTAGACTCAATTGCTGTCATTTGTTCTTCTATTAATTGTGCTGTGAGGTATCAGGGAGAGCGGTAACATGAGCCCGGCTAGGCCTGGCAGGTACAGGCATGGACAAAAACAATCTGTGTCATAGTGACAGAAGTGTCTATCGTCACTGCCCTGCAGTGAGGCCTGTGAAGGACCTGTGAGGGCAGAGGTGGGAGAGAGCACTGCACAAGGTCCCACCATCCTTGTGGTGCTCTGGGCACTATGGACCTTACAGCAGCTGTCAATTCCTGCTCTCTGCCCTCCTCCCACTTCTCAGCTAATGAACAAAGATGGCTGGCAGAGCCTCAAAATTTAAAGAACGACACTTGGGGATGAAGAAGCACAAAAGACCACGTATCCTGGAGCCTCCTGAGCACCCACCAGTGTACTGTACCCTTGGCTGCAGTTTACATACTCAGCTACATGCAGGCCCACATGTGGCCAGCAACCTCGAATTGCCCTCTGGTTCTCTCCTGGAGCTCTCCTTCTAACCAAGAGCAGAGACACATGGCCTGATCCCATACCAGAATACAAAGCTCACATGCCCAGAGGCCTGGATGGGCAGCTAAACTCTCTCCCTGCCATTCCCTTTGCGGTGGCCTTTCTAGGATACCACAAGCATGACCCTAATGGTGCATACCAGGTGTTCATCACATCTGAGGGATGAAAGTCCACACCTGTCATACCTTCCACAGGAGAGTGCTGTCCATGACCATCCTGGCAAGCGCAGATGCAATCACACAGAGCAGTGCAGAAACCAGCACCATCACACCCCCTGCTGCCAGCCACGGGAGGCTGCAGAAGTAGCAGGAGCTCTCGGCTGAGGTGCACACTACTACATGGATGGCTGACAGGACCAGGAACACCAGGTAGAAGAGCAGAGAGAACACGGGAGGTGACAGGGGCACTTCTAGCTCAGCTCTTCTGTGCAGCACTTGTGGGGTGCTAAGGAGGAGCAGGGTGAGAGCCTGGAACAGAAGATGCCAGCGCTGAACAGGTGGCTGGGTGTGGCATGAGCCACATGACCCAACCCTCCTGCCCTATGCCAGTTGCTTACAGTGAAGACAGAGAAGAGACTTAAGAAAGAGGATTTTTAGTTGCCTCTACAAGTGCATGGTGTGGCTTATTTTTTACCTGCTGTGGCAGGTAAATGCAGTCACTCGCAAGGCTTTGTGCACCTTTACAAGCTGTACACATGATGGGAGGGTAAGGAAAACCTGTATTTTCTGCTTAGTAACACTGATATATTTTAAACTCACATTTTGGCTGAGTTACTAAATCTGTGTAATACTTGAGCACCACCACATGAACATTCATACCTCCAAAACAACTATGGTCCCCACTGCCATGGAGTAGATGTCATACTGAGCCACATGCATGCTTAGTGCCAGGCTCAGGGTCTTCAGTGCCCCAAGGTACTGCCTGGCCACCTTGGTCCCCAGGTTGAGCAGGGCACCAGAACGATCTTCCTCCAAATGCAGCTTCACCCAGTTCCCATGGAGCCTTTCGGCCATCACAAACTGCTCGAATCCAGGATCTGCAGGACAGAAATCACATGGCATGATTTTTAGAACTGATACCCAATGCACACTGTCTGTTCCTCCAGGGGAGATGCAACAGCACATTATAAAATTGTGAAAGTTTACAATGAGCCTGTCTGTCAAAGCTCCTTCAGAGTATAGGTCCTGGTACACACAACCTAGACAGAAATGTCTACCTGCAACTCAGCCCAGACTCTTCTATGCCTCTTATCTTGTCATACCCCCTTACCCTCTCATTGACTTTTTTCACACTGCCTCCTTTTGTGCAACATAAAACCACTTGTGAAGTGCACCGAGTCAATAGGTCCTGGTTGTACAGAATCCCTCTGGCTCTCACAACACTCACATGGGGGCCCCACCCCACCACCCCTACCTCTATGCACAGCCAGTCCTTCTGTCCTCTGGAAGGTGACTCTCCAGCCTTCCCTGCTCAGGAAGGCCAGTGATGGCCTGAAACGGGAGTGCTGGCTATGGGAAGGGGCTGGTCTCACGGCTGCTGCCTGCCTCCTGTAAACACTGGCAGCTGCTTGAGGCCAAGCAGTAGCTAGTACTCTTTGTGTCCAGAGCTAGATGGCCTCTCAGTCCTGCCTGGATCACACTTACTCATGACTAGACAGGTCTGCAAACCAGTAACCTCGACATGCTGGTATCTGAAATACATTTATTCTTTTTTTTTAATAATGTTAAGTCTTTTTTAAAAATTTTATTTATTTATGTGTGTGTGTGTGTGTGTGTGTGTGGCCAGCTCAGCCCACCAGGGGGCGGGGCTGGCTGGCATGTGGTGCTGGGGGATTGAACCGCGGTCCCTGTGCTTTGCTAAGCTTGTTCTAAGTAGGTGCTTTAGACCACTGAGCCATCTCACCAGCCCAATACGTTTATTCTTGGGAAGGGCCATTGAAGGGTAGACTGCCTGTCAGCAGGTCCCTACCCTGACAGCTCTGACCAAGCCCCAAGTTTGCCTCACAGGAACAAAAGAACCCTTGCAGACAACCCAGGTGCTGCATGAGGTGCAGACATGAACTTGCAGGTCTATGCGCATTACTCTGTAAGGTCAGTGCAACCTTGCAGCACTGATGGCCAGTACCCAGCTAAACAGCTCTTCCTTTCCTCCCTGCAGTGGTCAGTGGAGCTAGGATACAGACATAAGTGTCCCTTGTTCCTGTGACTCCATATAGAGGCTGTGAGGCACAGGCACAAATGCCCTATGTTTCTATGACTCCCTTTGGAAGCTGCTGGGTGTGGACACGGATCTTCCACTTTGTAACGCTAGATACTACAGTTAAGATGCCAGCCTCATACATTCACATTCTTGCCCCTCCCCCAGGACACACAGACAAAAGCATAGAAATGTAATTGCAAAGTGTGAAGAATGGTATGACAGAAAAATATGCTGTATAATGAGAATTCTGGGGTACGGGAGCAACTGGGTTCTATTTTTTTTTTTAAGTCACATTTATTTAGCATCATGATCAGACTATTACATTTAGCAATCAACAGCACGGGTGCAAAAAAAAGGTCTACATTAAAATCCTTTGTTGGAATGCTTAACACTTTCCATAGAACAGAAACTAAAATAACCTATTATACAATTAGTCACAAATACAAAGGGCCAGCCAAATAGCTCAGTGGATTAAAGCACCTGCAAGCAGGCACAGGAGCCGGGGGATGGGGGGGCTCAATCCCCAGGCCTGCTGTGCTGGCCCCACCCCCAGGTTGCCCTGAACAGCAATTGAGACTGGGCATGGTGGCTAGCACCTGTAATCCCAACTCTTGGGAGGCTGTAAACAGGCAGATCACTAGGAATCTGATCTAGTAGTGAGACCCTTAACACCCTGTAGACCCTTCCCTAAAATACAATAAAAGGAAAAATAAACAAAAAACAAATACAGTCCTCAAGTTTTTTGCCCATATGCATGAGTATTGTCTAAAACATGTCTTCTCTGTAGTAGCTAGGCCCTCCCACCACTGTGCTTGGCTGAGTTCACAAATCTGTTGAAACCTGCAGCTTCCCTGTCACTTCCCTGGCTCTCCTCTCCTGCTAAGCTTCTGCCACTGCCATAGCTACTGCTGGTGCTGGAGCCACCATAGCCACCTTGATTTCGTGGTTTGGTAAAATATTAGCCTCCACCACCATAGGGCCCAGAGCTTCTGCCTCCAAAGTTTCCTCCCTTCATGGGTCCAAAATTTGAAGACTGTTGTAATTGCCAAATTCATTATAGCTTCCACCACCTCCATAATTGCTTCCACTACCACCGCCAAAGCCGCCTCCGCCTCCTCCGTTGTTATAGCTGTCAAAGCTGCCACTCCCGCCACAGCCGCTGCCCTGGTTTCCATAACCCTGTTCACTACTTCCATAGCCTCTGCTTCCTCCAGAGTAACCAGGGCCACCACCTCCATAACCGCCATCATTACCAAATCCATTGTAGCCATCTCCCTTCCACCATATCCATCCCCACCACGGCTGCCACCAGTCACCTCAACCACTGAAGTTTCCTCTGCGACTGAAACTGTCACTGCCACCAAAACCACCTTCATGACCACCACCAAAATTTCCAGAACCACTTTGACCTCTTTGGCTAGATGAAGCACTAGCCTTCTCCTGCTTTGACAAGGCTTTTCTCACTATACAGTTGTAGCCGTTCACAGTGTGGTATTTTTGCATGACAATCTTATCCACAGAATCATGGTTATCAAAAGTTGCAAAAGCAAGACCCTCTTTTTTCCACTACCTCAGTCAGTCACAATTTCAATCACTTCGATTTTTCCATTTTGTTCAAAATAATCTCATAGGTGATGTTCTTCGGTATCTTCTTTAATGCCACCAACAAAGATCTTCTTCACTGTTAAGTGGGCACCTGGTCTTTAAGAATCTTCTCTTGAGACAGTTCTCTTTGGTTCCACAACTCTTTCATCCACTTTGTGTGGCCTGGTATTCATGACTGCATCTACCTCCTCCATAGTGGCATAAGTGACAAACACTAAGCTCCTGGAACACTTGGTGTTTGGGTCTCTCATTACCATGCAGTCTGTAAGTGTTCCCCATTGCTCAAAATGGCTCCTCAGACTCTCATCAGTTGTTTCAAAGCTCAGCCCTCTGATGAAGAGCTTCTGTAGCTGTTCGGGCGCCTTGGGAGACTCTGACTTAGACATGACGGCAGTAGGAAGAGACTGGCGATGCTTCCTCTGCAGTGTCCACTAGCAGAAAGCGGAACCGGGTTTCAGATTTCAAGTGGAGTGGGACACAAGCCTGATCTTACATTTAAGATGAATTGAAAGGGTACTTTGTAATTAACTCTGAAAATCTGGGGAAAAGCATCTTGTTAATGAGAACAGTATGTGTAAAGGTACTGAGGCGAATGAAAGGTGTTCCCACCAACTGGGAGCAAGAGCTGGGGCAAGAAGGCCAGGTGCTCAGGGCACGGTGGGTGTCTGAAAGGCTCATAGGTCATGTGGGGTCTGAAACCTTCTGTCAGACCTGCCCTGACAATGTAGATGGGGCCTCCTAGGGGCGCAGTACCCATTCAACAATCTTGGGTTCTCCCCTATCCTTCACAGGTCTTGATTTTTCCCAACCCTGACGTTTCTGAAATAGGTAAACAACTTTTCTGTTGTGATTTTATTTTTGTTGGTGTTTTTACTAGTACAGGACAGAGGGCACTTAAGAACAAATAAGCAGAATCTACCAACTTAACTGAAGTCATTTTTGAAAAAACAAAGCAAACCAGAAGTAACAGTGGTCCTGGTTGGGCCTGTATGTCATGGCCAGACCTTGCCTGGCCCTACATCTGTCACGATGTCCTCTCACCCTTGCTACCTGGCCCTGCCCCTCACCCTCAGCAGATCCTGTCCCCCATGTGACCCTCATGCAGTTGCCCTCCTGGATGTACCTCACAGCTCAGGAGAAGACCTGACAACATTACAGCAAACCCTCCTTCACAAACCCTCTCCTAACCAGCCACCCAGGAAGCCAGCCTTGATGGGCCTGGGCATGTGACTCACACAATGCCAGAGTCTATGGAGAGGCGCATGCCCCTCCCAGGACTATGTCTGCTGGCTCACAGACACTCAAGTGTCCCAACGCTAGAGCTAAGGCCCCTTCGCTGAGTCCCAGGACCTGCACCCCTTTCCTTCTCTCCGCCTACAGCAGTAGGGTTCCCCATCTCTCCAGATGGTCACTCCTGGCAGTCATGAAGGACTCACATTGCCAGATCTAATGCCTGGTCCTTGGGGCTCACTTCTACCAGGATTCACTGCAGTTGCTCATGGCCCCTGACTGAGATTCTTTCTTTCCTTGGCTTCCTGGACAACCCCTGGGCACTCTTGTGACTGTCCACTTCAGTGTGCACTCCCTCTTCTGTGTTGCTGAGAACACCAGCGCTGCTGCTTATTCTTGTACCTTACATCCCAGCATGCCACCCAATCCTGTCTATGCCACCCCCAAAGTCTGTTTGGAATGTAACCCCTGCCCCCACCCCATTTTCACCCACACTGTCTGGGTGCTGCAGTTGTTCCCCACTGGCTGAGCCCTCAACGACAGGCTGAGTGGCCAACCCTGCAGCTGCCCCACTTCACCTAGGATAAAGGTGGTTCTGGTGCCTAACACGCCACATGTGCATTGTCATCAGCTCCTTGCACTCTCTCCAGACATATCCTAAGGCTGCGTGTTTCCTGCACTGTCTCCTACCAGGTCGGCCCTGCCCCAGGGGTCCTGTCTCCATTGAGTCTCTATCATCCATCATGTTGCTTCTCTCCTCAATGATGAAGCACTGAGATCTTGTACCATTTAATGCTTTAACAGTTTGTAACAACTTGGGTAAATATTTGTTGAATTAATAAAACTAACAAAGACTGGGCATGGTGGCACCTACCTATAATCCTAGTGCTTAGGAGGCTAAAAACAGGAGAATCACTACAAGTCTGATCTACATAGTGAGACCTTGTAGACCCTGTACCAAAATACGTAACAAAATAAAAAAATAAATAAAACTAATGAAAGCACTCCACTTAGGGGTCTACATCTGTTGGTGTTGCTTACAGTGACAGTTTAAACAAAGAGGAACACAATATATATAATTCAAGACTGATGACCACAAAACATTTCCATGACAAACTACACAACAAAGGGCAGAAAAGCATGAGGCAGAGGAGACATACAGCCCTACTGGAAGTTGGAAGCTATTAGCTGCTTTACCTTTTTCATAAGATGGAACATTCTCTTGCAACAATCTGCTAAGCTGTACTCCATTTAGATGTAAAAATCTCAGTTGTTCTCTCATTGGTCTTCTCTCCACAACTGGAAATAAAAGACTCCCTATGCTGTTCTTTGGAATTGGCAAACCAAGCCCTATTGCAAGTGTTGCAGCCAAATCCGTCTGCTGGACCTGTGTAGGGTGTCGGATATCACCTAGAAAAAAGAAAACATTTTAGGAGATGGGAGCCATTCTTGAATTTGACCTTCCAGCTAAGATAAGCCAAACTATTCATCTTATCAGGCTATTATTCTATGTAGATTTACACAGAAACTTCTTCCTTGCTTTCTGTGTCAATAGTTACTGAATGCTGCCTTCTTTTACATGGCTTATAATACACTGGGGGAGACTAATAAAGAAACTCCACATTAGCCACGGAGCAGGGTGGACACAGAGCTGGCAAGCAGCTCAGTAGAGCCAATAGATTTGAACATGGGTGAGGTGGGACATTCTGGATGCAGAAGGCTCTGTACTCTCCTCCCTAGGTATAGCTCTGATGGGGCTTGGCCCACTTCAGCAGATCCTGAACAGCAGAAGGGACTTCTCTGGGAACAGCAAGCATAAGGCTGGGATAAGCTGAGCAGACACAACCCTTAACTGGGAAAAGCAAGATGTTGCCTGTTAATAAACTGCAGCAGGGTGTTCTGCGAGCCCCTTTTGAGGAGTGTGCGATTGGGGGAAAGATACTGGGTCAGCCTTGCTGATACTGTCTAACATAACTGTGAGGCTTTCTCATCTGTAAGGAGCACAACTAGCCCCATATCAGAAACTGCAAGACCAGTTTGCAGGGCTCTGCAGTCACCAGTGAAGTGTTCTTGGGGATTCAAGTGTGAGTCTGCAAAGATTTTACTTTAGTTGCAGTAATTTTTGGTTATACAGACTTTTTAATTTGGTCAAATTTATTTTCTTGACCAACCCTCTAGGGATGGCTTCTAGTTGTATTCAGGAAGAACTTTCAACCCCAGTGTTATTGTTACTTGCTTTCTTCTGGTTCTTTCTTTTATTGTTTTCTTACATTTAGTGTTTTGAGCTGAAAAGAACAAAATGAAACAAAAGCAAACACAACATAAATGCCAGAAACACACTCTATGTGATATTCGCACTCCATCAAATCTAGGTGCTGACAACCAGAATTCTAAGCTGAGAAGGAAAAAGTACAGAAGGTCTAAGAAGTTAATTTTACAGTTTTCAATGTTAATTGGAAGTGTCAGTATAAACCCAAGATCATCTTATCTTCAAAGACTTCTCTGCTCTATCCAGAAATTTGATAGGGTTGAAACCAGGAAGGAGTACTTCAAGCTCTGAGACAGGGATCCTCAAACCTTCCACTCACAGGAGCCAGAGAGAAGCAAACCAGGTTTCAGAAGTGCAGTGCATGGGTCAGTGCAGAGGGCAACAGAGCAAGTGAGGTCAGTCAACCTAGGACTTGGAGCTGACAATCGGAACAGTAAGTAGAACATATCTACAGTGAATGGAAATGAATTGATATGTTTCAACTTTTTTTAAAAAAATTTATTTATTTATCCATCTATCCATTTATGTGTGGCCAGCTCAGCCCACCAGGGGGGCAGGGTGGCTGGCATGTGGTGCTGGGGGATCGAACCGCGGTCCCTGTGCTTCACCAAGCTTGTTCCAAGTAGGTGCTTTAGATCACTGAGCCATCTCACCAGCCCCAAAAGTACCTAAATCTTTTTTTTTTTTTTTTTTTTTTTTTTTTGCGGAACTGGGAATTGAACTCAGGCCCTTGCACTTGCCAGGCAAGTGCTTGTTCTACTGAGCCATCTCCCCAGCCCCTCAACTCTTGAGTTTACAATGCTATCAATTAGGCATAGTTGAAGGATAACAGTAAACTCATCCATTGATTTGATATTGGTGACTATGTGACTATATATAAGTTATATTTATCTTGTCTCTTTTATAAGAATGGTACCACTAGGTAACCAAAAAGTACAGGGAACTTTTCTTTATAGAATTATTTGGGCTGCTTTGGCTTGAATATATCTCATAAAATATATATGATGGAACCTTAATCTCTGATGCAACAGAGGACCATTTAGTAGGTATTACCTCAGTGAGGGCTAATGCCATTACAAAAAGGCATGGTGGGAGAGTTTAATCCATTTTGCCTTTTGCCCGATATATGTGAGGACAAAGCATCCCTTTCAGAAGGACACAGTATTTAAGGAAGCAGCTCTTACCAATGCCTGCACATTGACCTTGGACTTTTCAGCCTTCAGAACTATAGGAGATAAATTTATTTTCCTTATAAATTACCTAATTGATGATATTCAGTTATACCAGGAATGGACTAAGTAACAAAAAAGAATTATAGAAATAAAATATCACTGTTTGCAAACTCCAGTGATTTGGCTCAGGTGACCACCCCTGGCCACTAACATCACAACAGAGAAGTCAGATATCATGCCTTTTTTTTTTAGAGACAGCATTGCCCAGACTGGACCACAGACTAAAATGAGCCAGAACAAACCAGACGAATCAAACTGACAGATCTGAACCTGTTCATAGCTCTGGGTCATAGACTTAGAAAATGGACAATAAGCCTCAGCAGACAATACACAGAGCAACTGGCAAAACCCAGACTATGGAGACTCTACAGGACAGATAACTGGGCTTTTTCAGTAAATATATTGTAGTAAAAGAAGTGAATCGAGACTCAAGACACACCAACACATCACAGTATATGTATTTTACTTGTCCCCTGGTTGAAACAAATTACAACAAGTACAAAGAGGGCTGTGATATAGCTCAGCGGCATAAGTGCCTGTCTGGCAAGCGCAAGGTTCTGAGTTTGATCCCTAGTACAAAAGTAAAACAAAACAAAAGTAAAAAAACACTGGAAATCTGAACACTAATGTAATAATGACGCCAAGATGATGCGGAGAGGCCAGCCAAATAGCTCAGCGGATTAAAGTATCTGCTTAGGCAGACACAGTGGCTGGGATATGATCCCTGGCATGCCATGCTAGCCCTATCAATTAGGCATAGTTGTCTCATAGTTGTCTCCGGGCACACTGAGGTGACTGAGACTGGGTGTGGTGGCATGCGCCTGTAATCCCAGCACTTGGGAGGCTGAACACAGTCGGATCACTAGGAGTTCGATCTACATAGTGAGACCCTGTAGACCCTGTCCTAAAATACAAACAAAACAAAAAGATCGGGAGAAAAGAGTGCATATATTTTAGAGGTCTGCTTCCAAACAACAAAGGTGAACAAAAAAATGAGTATGGACATAGGCAGAAAAGACCAACATAACTGGACTAGTCACTGTTGAAGCTGGATAGTGAAGTAGAGAATTTATTACATTCATTGGCTACCTTTGTAGGTCTAAAATTTTCTATAATAAAGATTTTTTTTTAAAGAGCTTAAGATGTTTTGGTCTAGAATTTATATTGGTTTGGATACTACTTTGGTAGAGCAAGATACAGATTCAGTATTGTTTCTTTCCAGGTAGGCCACATGTACTTACATCACTCACTGAATGTCCTGTGTTTACCCCACTGAGATGCTGCCTTTATCAGCAAATCTCCTTATACCCTGGGGTCTACTTTTGGCCTCATGGTTTTGCTCCATGGATGGGTCTGACCAGTTCCTGCCAGGGAATTACAGTTTTAATAACTGTAATTCTGACCAAAATTAGAGAAAAAGGAGGGCTGAAAGGAAAGCCAACATTTTGGCCCTAGCCTTCTAAGGTCAATGAAGACTCAGGACATATGAGAACCTGTACTATAACATCATGTAACTCAGTAGTGTCCCAAATTTTCTGATCAAGAAGATTATGGGGCCAAAGAGGAAAGTGATCGATGATGTAGAGTGTGCCTAAGGAGAGTCACTTGGAGAGAAAACATTCTCTCAGGCTTTCACAGAGAGCACATTGGCCAAGCAATGGCCGTGACTCATCCACATGGCTGACACTGACAAAGGTTCTACAATCTGAGGTACAGGATCTCAGGATAAATCCTGAGGGGATTTCACTGACCTTATCAGACCCAAAAGCCACAACTCTTGTTGTGTAGGTCCTGCTTTACCTTGGTCTTAACCATCCAGCAGAAAAGTATAAAAACGAAATATAAGACGTAAAGCCATGCTGTTATGTTGAGCTGTAGGGGACTCAGGTCAACAATTTCTGACATTGCCAGTGAAGCGGAAGACCCAATACTATTATGGGCTACTGGACTCTTTTAGAATATTTTACTAAGTTTACACACCTATAATATTCAAATAACGGAACTTAACCAAAAAAGGGTATACAAATGAATGTCCATTTTGTATCTGTGTATTCAAAATGGTTAGGATAGATACATAGTTACATTCTCTTAATGAATAGAGCGATTTGTTCTAATGGTGTTTGTAAATACGATATCATTGAACAGCAATTAACCACTAGGAAGAATGTATGCAATGTGTGAATTATTGAAACTGTCCTACCAATTTGATTTGAAACTATCTCATTGCTATTTGTTTATCAATAAAATTATGGGAAAAAAATACTAGATGGAAAAAAAATAACTGTAATTCTGTATTGTGCACACAGGGTAGTGTATATTTGATCCTGAGGCACTTTTGGTTATTGTTCTTGGTTACAATTCTCCCAGCCCAACCACCTCCACTAACTGCTCTGTCCTTGCTAAGCAATCTTTTAAACATCCTGTTAGCAGACACTGATGAAATTGCTATCATGCCTGGTGTTATTATAGGCCTGGAAGACAGTATAATAAATTCATGAAATAGGCAAGGTCTTACCTTCATGGAGCCTATATCCCAACAGCATGAAACAGACAACAAAATATACCTGCTTTGCCCTTGTGGAGGTCCAGGAAGAGGTACATGACCCTTCCCAGATCTCTGGCCCTAGACTCAGACTTGTACTTCTTACCTGGAGGTGAGGTTTTGGGATGGGCAGTAGCAGATGGGGACATCTTCGAAATTATGCAGTGCACAATCTAAAGCTTCATTAAAAATGGCCATCACAGCCTCTGGAAATTGTTTAAGGGTTTACAGCAAATGAAAAAAACTTTCATACAAAAAAATCTACTTGGTGCCAGAGAGATAGCTTAGGACCTAAGTGCCTATCTGGCAAGAGCAAGGTCCTGAGTTTGATTCCTGGTGTGAAACAAAGACAGGGAGGAGGAGAGCAGCGAGGGGTAGAAGGGGAGGGGAGGGAGAGGAGGGGAGGGAAAAATAAAAGAAAACAAAACAGAATAAAATAAAATCTACCAAAGCTGGTAAGAATGTTAAGAGTCTATGGCACACAAACTGTGATCCGTACCCTCTCCCCTCACTGCTCAGTGGGACAGAAAATCCCCTTAAAGGATGTAGCCAGGAATATAAGGCTGCTTCTCCTCCAAGCTGCATGGGTGGGCAGTTCTAAGTACTTGGCAAGAACAGGGCAGGACATGGGTATCTCTCATCCTTACCTGCTGTTCTTTTCCTCTCAGAAACAAAAGAGAGCAATCAGCCAGAAATTTGCAGAGCTTCAGAGCTAGGTGTGACAGCAACAGAGGCAACAGCTAAGAGACCTGTGAGTGCCTGGGCTGTGCCCTTGAAGCAGCACTACAGCCTAAATTAGTCCTCAAGTCACCAGAAAAATAAGCCTGCCCCAGAATGGGGAAGGGTTAGCATCCAGAGTTGCCACACTACATCATTTGTATCTTTATTTTTTTGAAACAGTCCTCAAACTTGAGAAAATCATTAATCTACAAACCCAACAGGCTCAGGGAGCTCCACGCTGGATAAACATAAAGGGCACAGACGCACTGCAGTGAAAATGCCAGGACAGGAGCCATAATGCTCCATGGTGACTTCTCATCAGAACCACGGAGGCTGCATGCACAGTATGGCAGTTGGAAGCTGAAAGACTGCCAACCAGAAGGTTTAAATCCAACAAAACTATTCTCAAAAAAAAATCCTCAGAATTTACAAAGCAGACAATTTGTTGGTAATAAACTTCCCTTATAAGATATAGTGAAAGAGGTTCCTAAAGCTGAAACCAAGTGATAAAGATAGTAATACCACAACAAAAGGCAAAGGCAGTATATAATTCTGAAAGACAGCACAAAGGCAATTTCTTCCATTATTCTCTGAACTGATTTGAAATATAAAAACCATATCTATAGCCAGACAAAGTATAATACACCTATAATCCCAGCTCCTGGGGAGGCACAGGCAGGAGGATCCAAACTGGAGCCCAACCTGGAAAAATTAGCAAGACCTTCTCTCAAAGTAAAATTGAAAGGTATAGTTTATGGTGAGAATGTGCAAAGCTCTGGGTTCAACCCCCGGTACTGACAAAAAGAAGTATGTATGTATAATTATGCCATCATCTGAAACAAAGACACGCAACACATTTGCCAGTAACAGGCAGAGATGTAAGTAGAACTGTACTGTAACAAGACAATGATTCCAGACAAAAACATGCATCCTTAAAAAACATACAGATGTTCACAGCAGCAAGTAGAAGCAACCCAAATGTTCTTCCCCCAGTGGATGAGTAATGCAGTCCATTAAAAGATGAAATACAACTTAGCAACAAGAAGGAATGAACAATTGGCATACTGTGGCCTGAATGAGCTAGAAAAACATCACCAAAGTGAAGGAAGCAGATCACAAGCCCCATATCACAGGTGCCAGTCCTACAGAATGCCAAGAAGAAGCAGGTCACTAGTGAGTGCCCAATGCTGGGGAGGGCCTACTAAAATGTGAGCGGTTTCTTTTTGAGGAGATCAAATGTCCTAAAACTGACTAGAGCAATGGTCACTGAAGACTGTGAATGTACTAGGAGTACGAGTACAATCGTGGCTTATACAATGAGAAAGATGAGAACACAACTGTTCTTAGAAAAAAACAAAAAAACAAGAGCCAATGATCAGGGCTGAAGCTGGCTATCTGTACAGCACCACAAAAATATTCAAAATACGCAGGCTGGAGATGAAGTGTCAGTACTTCTGTCACACAACAGCCCTAACCTTTGCTTCCACAGAGAAAGAGCTGGCATAATTATCTTTTTCCCTGGACCAAGAGCTCCTGTAGGACAACGGTTGTCTCTGATTCTTTTGCTAACCTAGAAGTGCCCACTACAATACCTGGCCCATCACAGGCACTCAAAAAACCACTTCTGAGGGAGTAGACGGTAGATGACATTGCTAAGTAGCACCCTGACTTCTCTAGGTCAGCATGAGGCCTGACAGACATAGGACACAGGGTAGTGACTCAATGTCTGCACACCTTGCAGGGGGCAGTGTCCACACTGGCTCCTGGAAAGGCTGAGTCCCAGGAGGCAGTGCTATCTAAGAACACCTATGGGGGAAGGGCAGGGCAGAAGGGTTTCTCCTGCCAACACCGGAGTGCAAAATTTGTTTATTCAGCATATCTTTTTTTGGCACCTATTATGTGTTGGGTGACATCTCAACAAGGAGTGGGGAGGGCAGCTGTGACGTGAAACATATAGACAAACCTATGAAGACAAACCAAGCAAAATATCAGAAGGCAGAGTGCAGAGGAGACATGGGCAGCAAAGTAGTTTAGCCTTGGAGAGGAGGAATGATATTTTTGAGACCTGCAGGAGTCTAAGAGGATGAGACAGGGGTACTACAGCCACAGGATGTTCAGGTGAGCAGAGCAGGCACACAAGCAGCAGGGACACAGCTAACAATGAAGCAGTCAGGTTAATGGAAAGCCTCTCATGGGAGTCATAATTTATTTAAGCTCACATACCGAAAGGCCTTCTGTTTAGAAAGATGTAGGGAGGAGAAGAACAAGAGAGACCCACATGGATGGTGGTGCTTTGTGTGCCCAGGACAAAGGGCTAGCAGTAGGGAGAAGCATTTGGGTATGAAGCTGATACACTGACTCTGAGACCCCACTTCAGGAGCAGCCAGGTGGACAGGTCTGGAGTTAGAGCTCAGAGCGCCAGAGGGACAAATCTGATGAATGTGGACCTTTTCATGGCATCTTTGACCATGAAAGCAAATCAGGTATCTCAGGAGTGAGTGCAAAATGAGAGTCAATCCAGAAAAGACTGGTGAATAAGGCACTGGGACACTGGCCCAGCAAGAGTTGGGAAGGAAACCAGATAAGCAGTGCTGACTGGTATTGCCGGGTGAGATGGTCAGTGACAGAAGAGGCCCTGGGTCTCTGTCATGCTCAGAAGTAACCACTGCACTACTCCAAGTGTGTCAGCAACATGTGGCATACACTAGGCCCTTGTGGAAGCTAGAGGACAACAGCTGGCTAGAGAGGGCAGTGAGCAGGTAAGGCAAGCCAGGTGGGGCTGCAGAAGTGGTATCTGAGCCACCCTCTCCCTCCTAGGGATAGCCCTCAGTCAGGTCTGCTCCATCTGTGTCCCTAATGCTTGCTGATGCTATTGTTTAATAGCTGATTTTACACAGAGGATGCTTTTTAAAATTTTAAATATTTGTTTGCTTCAGTCTGTATATACAATCCAGATGTGTGCAAGTAAAAGGCAGGGTTTTTTTTTTCCCTATTTCCAAACACTTAGACAATAACATTCTGAAATCAATAGCCATACAAAAGTATGTGTTGTAAGAATCAGCATAAGGTATGTAAACTCTAAATTCTGACAGCTCTTCCCTCTAATTTTTACTTTAATATTGCTCAGGACATTTCAGCGTTATATAATTTAAAACACAGCTTTTAAAATTAAAACTAGACCATAATTTCAAGATGTTAAACATTCTTAAATTCTCACCAGGTTTCCGCTCAAATGCAGAGCTGACAAGGACTAGAGGTGTCCTCACTTCCTCTGCAGAGGCGGCCCCATGACTCCCTGTCTCAGACATGCCGTGGTCACCACAGAGAACCAGCAAATTGGGTGAAAGAGTCTCTCTCTCCTGCAAGGCAAAGTAAGGGCCAGCTGCAGCCAGACTGAACAGCACTTGTGTTCTTGCTAAGCTACAGCTGGACTGAGATGTGACCAGGGGAGCAGACACTGCAGATGTTGCCTCTGTGTCCTACGCTGGAGCTCCTAGGTGAAGAGCTCCCACAGGTTCAGTCAAACAAAGATTCTACCCCAAATGATGCATGAGAAACAGAGCTGTCATGCTTGTGGTTTCTGACAGAAAATCTGCCTTTGTCACTCCTGGGCTGAGACCTTAGGTATATCATGCTGTTTCTTCATCTGTCAGAGGAGACACAAAAGGAATCTACTTAACAAGACTTTCTGAGGCTAAGACACAAAGTTCCAAGAGGGAACACTGACATATACACAATGAGTGCAGGGCCACGACATTAAGAGCTAAGCCTCATGCAATCCTGAGGACTCTGCACCTGCAGCCTGACAGCACTTGGCTCCTCCTTTCCCTAGGTCTCTGCTCTCACCACACCCACATGGAAGCTGTTCTATACATGTCATTTATTTACTCATTTTGGCAATAATTTTGATTTTTTGTTTCATTTTTATGATTACAAATAATTTTCAAGTTTATCTCCTTTTTTTGTTTGCTTAAATACAAAGCAAAATCACAAACAGGTACAACCAAGACATCATCTCGCACATACACATGCCTTTTAAAGTCATGGCCTCTCCTCAACTGTGGTATGCTCCTCCTCCCCAAGTGTCCCTGTGGCACCAACCACTCTCCCAGCATAGTTGTTTACATTCCTTTTTTGCCTGTAGAACACAGGTTCTCAAGGGGTTGCCTGCCTAAGCATAGCAACCTAGGAGGGACCCAGGCTGCTGGGAAGACTAAGTCAGTGTGGCCATGTGTGGCAAGGAGTACAGTGGCCTGACTGGCAGATGAGATACTAGTTCAGGTAGTTGTGCTCCTGCTACGGAACTTGGGCAATATGAATTTCACCTCTACACCACTCGCCACAGCAAGCTCACCTTTGTTAGCAGTGCGGTATAAATCTTCATTAGGATGCCATCCATCTCTCGAAGCTTATACCCAATCAGGGGGCTATCAGGCCCTGAAATGTGGCCAATGTGATCCAGCCCTAGGTAGTGGAGGATTAACATGTCCCAATCTCCTCTTTTTAATACTTTTTCCAAATGCCTTGTAACATTACTATCCACCTTTGAAGGGAGAAAAAGTACAAATAAATAGCTACTCTACTTTCCCTTGGTCCTCTAACAGTTATTTTAATACAGATGGGTTTATTTTAGGTAGCAGAACTTCTGGAGATTGAAACAACAACAAAAGACAAAACAAACCCCTACATCATTACAAACAAGTAAACATTAGCCTTCATCTTTTACTCTTATGGTAGTAAACAGAACATATTATACAGATAACTGAAATGAGCAAGGCCTGTTCTAACAAAATTTATTTTTATGGGACCAAACAGCATGACCAGAGTCCTATGAGAGGGCTGCTTGTAAAGGGGAAGCCACAGCATTCAGAACCTCTTTCATTTCTAAAACTAACACATCATGTGGAGAGACTATAGCTGAGCATCCCTGACAGACGGAGTAGCCTGCTCAGCCCTGACATGACAGGTAACTCACCACCCATCCACTAAACAATCAACTGCCAAGAGAAATGTCTTGGGGCAATACCTCACATAGTGTTGGAACTTGTCATGACTGAGAAGCCATGCTGTGCCTGCCTGGACCCGTGTGGAAAATGGACGGGACTACAGATACTCCCTACCTGCCTCTGCCTAGGTCTAGGGCCAGCTTTCTACATGTCGGTCTAGTCCTGTTCATTTGCTGGAGATAGCCCCCTAGCCTGGCCAGTGCCCCTCAGAGTCAGATTCTACCTGGCTTACTGCTTGCCATCAAGTGAGGTACCACACCCCTAACGAACCTGATGGCAAAGAGTCCCACAGCTTTGCTGTATCAGACGTTTTACTCACCTGGTTTTGTCCACTTAGAAGGCCCCATACCCCATTTAGATCCCGTCCTAAGAGCCCCTCTCTTGTGGCACCTTTCCTGATCCTCAGTGTTCTCAATGGATGTCCAGTCACTCTCAACTTTGGGCCCCACAGACCTCTGCTCATACCTGTGTCAGGGTTTATCCCCCTCCCATGTAAAATATTTATAATCTCTTCTACTGCAACTTTATAAGTTAATAAATGCCACACACAAAATAACATCTTTTACTAGGTAATGGCAGTACTTGGCTCCATTGACAGTAACATGCTTCTCTTTATTTATTTATAATTTTTCTGATACAGGATCTCGCTACACAGGTCAGACTCGTAGTGACCCTCCTGTCTCAACCTCCCCAGTGCTGGAATTACAGGCAGGTGTGTGCCAACACACCCAGGGCCGGCACAGCAGGAACTTGGGTCCTCTGGCTTGCCAGGCAGGCACCTGGACTGCTAAGCTATCTCCCCAGCCCTGCTGCTCTTGTTTTAAGAACTGACCTCTGTATAATCTGACACAAAAAATGAGGTGGTTCCATCATATTCCACAAAATGCTTTGGGAATAACTTAACCCATGTTTCATCTCCATAAAAGATCATTCTCTTCCCAGCTGCTTTTGCCTGTCTTATCACATTGTCTTCTTGTAGTGCAGGAGAGTTGAGGTTTCTGATAATATCAACAAAGCCAGGGAGACTCCCTGTCATCAGTGCCTACAGGAAAAAACAGTCAAGAGTTAGGCCACAGAAACTCAAAAGTGCAGCACCAGAGGCAGGAAGATCTTTTGAAAGGTGAAACGGGTGAATGAAAAACTAGCACAGGCCCAATCCTCAAGGGAAAGTCAGTGCTAGGACAACACCTAGGGTGGGGAAAGCACACAGACTTCGGACAAAAAGAGCCAACTTAATAATGAAGACAAATTATATTAAAAGCTTAGTTCAAAACAACACTTTCAATAGGAGAATAAAAGAGAATGCTAGAGATCGTTAACAACAGAAATGACCAGAAAAGGTGCAGATTAATGACAGAGCTGAGGCAATGGCTAACTAGAATATGTGCCAAAAACATGGGCCTGTATATTCAGACCCTCCATCAGGTTCCCACTTAATATGTAAATCTGTTCCAGTTACATCTATGCTTGACTCCCAGGGGTTCCCAAGGTAAGCCAAGCCAGGGATACTGGTAAGATGTCCCTCAGTCCCCTGCACCATGCTTTCTGGGAGAATATGGGTGTGAAATGTCTTGTTGTCTTTCTAACCCACAGTTGATGTAATAACCTTCCTTCCCAGTTTTAACATAGAGCCTAAGAGGTCACAGAAATAGATCTCTGTAATTTGTAATTCTACAACCATCCACAACATCTGGGACCTGGTATAATAATTTTTCCGGGCCTTCTTCAACAGCAAACACTTTATTTTAAAATAATGCTGGAGACAAAACACAGGGTTTGTATATATGCTAGGCAAGTGCTCTACCACTAAGCTACAACCCCAGCCAAAGGGATGCAAATATGAATTAATTGGATTTCTGAAATCGCACAGTGAGGAGTTTGATAAATCTTTTCTCCAAAGACAAAAAAAAAAAAAAAAAAAAAAAAAAAAAGAGGAAAGAAAAAATTCAAATACAAGCAAGAAGGAATCAACAGCAAACACTTTATTTTAAAATAATGCTGGAGACAAAACACAGGGTTTGTATATATGCTAGGCAAGTGCTCTACCACTAAGCTACAACCC